ATTCTCTTTTCCAGAAGTAACTCTTGGCCTGCTATGGACTAAGTATGAAAGGGGCAGTGTTTTATTCTTGCTGAAATAGACTCTGGATATAGATTTACCTTCCATGAATATAGCATAACTTCCCATCTGTGGACTTACCAGCATGTCTTATTCATCATCATGATATTAAATATAGCATTGCTTCTGACCAAGGAACTCAAGTCACAGTCAAAGACATGTGGCACAATGGAATTTTATGAAGCCATGAAGAAGAACAAAATGTTATCATTCGCTGGTAAATGGATGGAATTGGAGAACATCATTCTGAGTGAGGTTAGCCTGGCCCAAAAGACCAAAAATCGTATGTTCTCCCTCATATGTGGACTTTAGATCAAGGGCAAATACAACAATGGGATTGGACTTTGAGCACATGATAAAAGCGAGAGCACACAAGGGAGGGGTGAGGATAGGTAAGACACCTAAAAAACTAGCTAGCATTTGTTGCCCTCAACGCAGAGAAACTAAAGCAGATACCTTAAAAGCAACTGAGGCCAATAGGAAAAGGGGACCAGGAACTAGAGAAAAGGTTAGATCAAAAAGAATTAACCTAGAAGTTAACACCCACACACAGGAAATCAATGTGAGTCAATGCCCTGTATAGCTATCCTTATCTCAACCAGCAAAACCCCTTGTTCCTTCCTATTATTGCTTATACTCTCTCTACAACAAAATTAGAAAGAAGGGCAAAATAGCTTCTGCTGGGTATTGAGGTGGTGGGAGGGAAGAGGGAGGGGGCGGAGTGGGTGATAAGGGGGGGTGGGGTCATGGGGGAGAAATGACCCAAGCTTTGTATGCACATATGAATAATAAAAAAAGAAAAAAAATTATATAACTGGAATTATATAATATGTTAATATTTTACAGCATAATTCCCTCCAGAAAAAAAAAAAAAAAAAACAAAGACGTGTGGCAATGGGTTCATGTTCATGGAATTCACTGGTCATGTCATGATCCCCGTCCAGAACAGCAATTTATAACAATGGTGAATGGCCTTTTGGATGCTCATTTATAATATCAGCTAGGTGGCAACAGGTTGAAGGGCTGGGGCAACATTCTCCAGAAGTCTTCATGTAGTGTAGTTTTTCCCAGAGCCAGGATTTAGTAAAAGTCTAGGAACCAAGGGGGTAAAAATGGATGGCACCCCTCACTCTTACTCCTAAGCTACAAGCAAAATGTTTGCTTCCTCTTACCACACACTATGTTCTGCTGACCTAAAGATCTTATTTCTAAGGGAAGAAATATTTCCACCAGACATACAAGATGTCCAAAGCTATTATCCAGGCCTTTTGGACTTCTTAAGCCTCTGAATAAAAAGACAAAGAAGACAGTAACTGTGTTGGTAAGGGTGACAGATCTTGACCATCACTGGAAAATTGGAAAACAAGAGAACTTAGGGGATTTTTATTATTATTATGTTATTATATTATTATTATTATTGTTATGATGATGATGACTGGTTAAGTTGAATAGAAGCCATAACAACCTAGTCTAGGCAGAACAATTCATGGCCTAGACCCTTAATGAATGAAAGTTTGTGTCATCCCAAACTGAAAGCAAAGGGTACACAGAATGAGAGAAAATTGAGAAGAAGACAGTTATAAAAACCAACTTTGACCATGTCTGATATCAATCTTCTACCCTTGGATTTGAATTTATATCAATAGTGCTTACTGCTAGATTGGAGTATTTCTCCTTATTTTGTTATGCATGTGTTGTGTGTGTGTATGTGAGTGTGTAAAATATTTTTGTTTTCTTCCCTTTGTTATTACCTTATCATACAACATGATATATAATGACTCTATATTATGGGATTTAATTTTATGTCCCAGTGTTTACATTGTTGGATATTTAAAAAGTAATCATCATTCAAGGATTTTACCTTTTCTTGTAGAGAAGGCCTTAGTGTACTTTCAGATGAAGGCATGATAGTTATGCAGTGAACTATACAGATATCTGCAGGGCATAAGTGAGGGATTGAGTCCAGAATGCCACCTTTCAGGATACAGGCAAAAATCCACAAATGTTATAGTCTCTTGTATGAAATGGCAGAGCACCTGCATATAACCCATGCACAACTTTCCTTATACTTTGTCAACTCTAAATTATTTTATATACCTAATATAATGTAAATGCTATTAAATAGTAGTTATACTGAGGGATAATAACAAGGAAAATTCTACATTTGGTTCTGAGTCAATTGTTTCCAAATATTATTGATCCATGGTTTATTGAATCTGCAGATGTGGAACCTGTGGATACAGAAGTCAACACATTTTGTTAGTCAAAATTATAATCTTATTATTGTTCTTATTTGATGATTAAGTATGACCTAAGAATATGCTTATGGGTAGAAAGTGACAAGGGGTGGACATATAATGTTAAATTTTATGTGTCAGTTTAGACCAGAAATCTGCTTAAACATTATTTCTGTATGTGTCTCTGGGATATTCTTGGAAGAGATTAACATTTGAATCAGTAGGCTGAGTAGAGCAGATTGTCCTCCTCAATGTGGGTGGGCATGATCCAATCTGTTGAATGCCTGAATGGAACAAAAAAGTGGGGGAAAGGGAGAATTCATTTTGTTTGAAGGTTTGAGCTGGAATATCAGCCTTCTCTTGCCCTTAGACTGAGACTTTGTCACCATCACTTGCTTCTGGCTCTGAGACCTTTGGACTTGGACTGGAAATATAACATCAGTTCTCCAGTTCTTAAGCCTTCTGACTTGAACTAGAACTTAAACCATCAGTTCTCCTTATTCTTACGCCTTCAGAGTCAGAATGTAAATACACTTCTGGTTTTCCTGTGTCTCCAGCTTGCAGCTAGCAGACTGTGATATTTCAGAGCCTTCATAGTTCCACCAGCCAAGTCCATACAATAAATTTCATAATGTAATATATATGTATATGTATACCCTATTGGTTCTTTTCTCTGAAAAAAACCCTGATTAATGCAATGTCTTTCAGTAGGTAAATAAGTAAACTATTGTGCATCTAAAAATTAAATATTATTCAGTGCTAAAAAGAAATGTGCTATACAGTCTTTAAAAGAATCTCCTTAAATATACATTACTAAGAGAAAGAAGCCAAATTTAAAAACTACATACTATATGATTCCAACTACATGACATCCAAGTAAAGTCAAAATTCTGGAAACAATAAAAAGAATTACCCCAAGGGTTAAGAGGCAAGGATAAATTGACTAAACACAGGATTTTCAGAATAGTGACACTGTTCTGTATGATACTATAATGGTACATACATATCACTGTACATTTCTCAATCCCAATAGTGAACTCTAATGTAAACTGTGGACTTTGAGTGATAATTATGTATCCTTATGGGTTAGTAGATTTATCAGTTGTAACAGATGTACCACTGTAGAGTGGGATGTTTATAGTGGGGGAAGACAAGGAGACATAGGAACTCTCTGTATGTTCTGCTTAATTTTGCTGCAAAGTTAAAACTACTTTAGAAAATAAATTCTATTTTTTAAAAAAATGAATGTTATCTTGGAATCTGAATGAAAGTGGGCATATTTTTTGAAAATTTTTATATCCGAATTGCATATTCAGTCATCATTCACTTTGACTCAATAATGTGATAAATGATAAAAGAAATACTAATTTTATTGAGTCACTTAATTTTTGGACAAAGTGAAAACATTGTATCTTCTAAATAAAGGTAGTTTTCAAAACATAATATAAAATTACAAAATGAGAAATCAACATTAATGATACTAAGCCCATATTAGAGAAAATTAATATATACATTTCACTTACTAGTACTTAAAGACTTAGACCATTAATTAAATTTTGGCAGTGGAAATTGGAAATGAAACAATCTTTTTCACTAAATAAAAATTTTATCCATCCTAAATTTTTAGGAATTTCATTTTAGTAGATTAATTTAGATGTAAATGTTTTTAAGCTCATTGTAAATCCTCAGAGTCTTTACTTTGTAATATAGTCTGTTAATATATCCATTGTCTTTCTAAAATAAGTTCCCTAGAGATAGTCCATTAGTCTGCTTTATGATTTATTTCAAAGATGAAATGATTGTCTGCACTCTTCATCCATGGCTATGTAATCCTAATTTTTAAATAAAATTTAATGGCAATTATTATGTATTAAAATGAACCCATTTCCCTTCTTGCGTATTTTTTCTTCACATAGTAAATCCTACATCAAGAACAATCATCAGGAAAACATTTTTAAGATAATTATGTTTGGACACATCCCCTTTTCTAAGTTGTTTCTTAAAATTCTTTTAATAATCAACACTGAACATCTTTAGAAATAGAAAAAAGTTGCTGATTCATTGTTGGAAATGGTTAGATTTGACAACGTTCTTTCTGTCTTTAACTTTTTCTTGCTCCTGTTCTTGGATAGTGCCATAGATCTCAGAGGGTAAATGTACACATAGCTGAGAGTATAAATGGAATGGTGTGCCTCTGAAGCAAAGGTTCATTATCCAAAGTTGAGACTGAAGTTGTCTTAATGGTGCAGCATTTACAAGAGGTTCAGTAAACATTTAAAACATAAGAAACCATGACAAGGATGATTATTTGTGGCAAAAATGTAAAGGAAGGCTTGTGCTTTTCTGATCTTTAACTTTACTGCCAGTAAGATGAAAATAAAATGATTTGCTTCTGGAACTGTGATGAAAAATTGGAAAACTTAAATGAAATTTAACATTAATCATAAAATGTCCTATGGTACTGGATACCAGACTAATTAATAATTTTACAATTTTAGAATTATGAGAGAAATGTAAGCAAGCCAAGTAAGGGGACACACAAAAAAAAGAAAAATTCTGGCTATGTATCTAAGACTTGAATGAAAGTGAGAATTATGTACATTTTAATATTCTTCTATTCCAACTTCTTTATTATGTGTGTGTCTGGTATGGTACCATGAATATAAAACTAGTAAAACCTGTTGAAAACTGTAACATAAAGAAAAGAATATGAATAATTTAATCAGATAGGATTCAAGTTGTCCCCAGCTCATTTGCCTTTTATTCTTCATTTCAGTTAGTTACATGTCCATCAGTTATCACCAAGGTTATGCATGCACCTTGAAATGTTCACAAAAGGTCCACAATACAGGGTTTCAGAATTAGTTTATATGTTGTATTCAGAATCCCAGGGGAACTAATAGATTCTGGAAATACTGATTAAGCAAGATGAAAAACTGACACAGTTTCAACTACAATAATTTTACAGACAAGTACAAGCTTCATTTGCCACAAAACTCACAAAAAGTAATCGATCGAAGAATATCTCTGTTATGCAAAATATACATTTCTAGGATATAATCTGATTAATATTCTACTATATACTGACATTGTTCCTTGATCATTTAATAAAAAAATACTCTCATTGCCAGAATTTCATATTTTGTAATATTTATAATTGAGGTAACAATGACAAAAGACTTAAACTATGAATACTATAGGAGAATTTCTTTTAAACTACAACAGTTTTCCAGAACTAAACAAATATGTGACTAAAAATAGGTCTGTTTTGATGAATAGACATAAAAAATTTATAACATAATTGACAAGCTTATAAGCAAATGGTTTGTAAGAGAATGATACAGTCGATGTTTATGGATCCATCCACTAAATAGAAAAAAATTAATTAAAACAGACCTATACTACATTAGTATCATTCCTTGTGTAATTCACAGCACAACCCACAGTAGGCCCGTGATGAGCCTTACTTGAAGCTTCAGAGATGTTGATCATAAATTTGGCTTCCCTTGATGTAAGATAGCCAAACTGGTTGACCCATGCACACTTGTTGGTATTTACAGTTGTTTCATGGACACAGGTCAGTCTACAAGCAGAACACTCACATGGGGAGCACCAAAGCAGTTCCAGTAATGTTCTTCTAGAAGCTTTAAATGCCTCATTAAGACGTGGAAACTTCTTCCAAGCATAACGTGGTCACATCAGGGCACATTCAGGAGCAGAAGTGGTGTCCAGTACAATCCTTGGTATGGCTAAATTCCACTGTCCCTTTTTCAGCAGTCAAAAATCCATGATAAATTCTATACAACACTGCAGTCAATAACAGCAGCACCAGACAGCATATTAATTCCTTTACCATAAATCTATGTGTGATTATAACATCCTATGTGTGGTGTTATCAAAAGGATCACAGTATCTCTAAATATCACCTATGTACGTCTGGGTAAATGCATTGCTGTACAAGATCTGACATGCAGTTCATGCACTAGGACTTGGGAATATAGAGTAATACATGTTTCTTGGCTAGTAATAAAAATGACACTTGTCTTACTAACAAAAAAATAAACATGGGAATTAGGATTTAACAGTGTCAAGGATCCTCAATGCCTTAAAAGTATTCGTTTCCTCAATTTATATTATGACATTTTTCCCTACATGCCCAATACACCAGAAACACTATTACTATTCCATTTGGTAAGGATGTGTAAACAGACTTTCTTCCACTCAAACCGAATAAGACTCCTTAGGGATTTTGCTGGAATGTAGTGATGAATGCTGGTTGCTAGGTAGTGGAAACTGACACTGCAGTAGGCAACCAAGTGCAATGGTGAAATTGCTATTTAAATTCTGCTCATCAAAAAGATTCACAGTGCTGATTAATGTAGGTAGTCTATAGGGCCTTATTAATTTAGCAAAGAGGCTGCTCCAAATAGCAAAGAATGCAGGGGGCAGGAGGTGGGGGTGGGGATCGAGTACTAAAATCATGAATTTATCAAAGCATTTCTACGCTTCATGGAGACAAATGACATATACATTTAAGACAGGGAACTAAGACAGACAGACAGAAACAACATACAGGACAAAGCACCTGATTAAACACTGCCTGATAATCTGATTAGTCCTTTGATTCAGAATTTTAAGGCTAGTCAAAAAAGCCTCCTGTGAACACAAGCGACCCTTGATGTTTGCACAAAAAAATAAATAAAAATAAAGGCAGGGGTAAAAAAGATATGAGAGCTTTGGGTAATATTTGGCACTCCCCTCTGAAAATGCTGACAAATCCTGGGGTTAAAAAAAATGACTTTAGTTCCAAGCAGCAATTCCTGCCTAAGCAATGCAAGCCTGGCTGGCAGTTACCTCTCTCTTATGTTTTGTGCCTTCCCCAAGTCATTAAGTAAGAGATTTGGCCTAGGCTTGCATATAACCGGTAATGACAACCTCTTTGCAGTTATCTGTGTACAAACAACCAAAGACATTCAGAACTCCAATGCAGCATTTTTGAAGAAAGTAAATCAACCAAGAAATTCAAGTATTTAAAACAATCAAAGGAAAAAATGTCAAGAGAAACTCGCCCTCCCTACCCCACAATTTAACAGTTGACCAGTGCTTCCATATCAGCAGGATGGTTTGACGCACGTACACATATTCTGAGCCATCCGCAGTTCCCAAACTCTGCAACATTGCTTTTAGGTGATACAAACAAGATGGTCCATGCAAATGGGCTGGTCAAAGTCATGTACTGTGCAATCAAGAGGCGATCCGGAACATCTTCAGAATGGTTTAGAGTCACAAAAAAATGAAGTTCCGTAGCTGGCATTTGGAAGCACACTGCTTTAAATATACCTCCCTGAAGATATGGCTCTATATTAGTATGCTGGCCAATATCTGTCGCTATCTGTCATATTATTGCGGAAAGAAATCAGGGCAATTAATATGGAGAAGTAGGAGCACTACTTAAGATAATTTAAAGCCAGGATAAGATTGGTTAGCTACTCAAGTGGTATTTCTGATTTCAAATAGTAGTATCATGCAGGACTTATACCATATTAATGGAGTCTGGAGTAATTCTACTTTTAATTATGTCCATTACAGGGTAAACAGTACTTGAATTAATATTATTTAGCCGACTGATGCAGTTTGGTTTACAAGATAGATGGGATGGGAGATCGAGAGCGCCTCAGAGGACAAGGAGAGTTGTATGGTGATGTTACTGGAGAGAGCCTCAGAGCATTGCCTGCCAAGCCCGCTATGTTGTTTAAGCTTCGGGATTTTTCATATCCTTTTATGAAAAAATGCACAGATATCAGTTGAGTTCAACCAGAAAATAGACACAGACAAACAATACCATGCAGGGTAATCAAAAGTGCTATTTTTGAACTCAAAGAATTTGTTTACAAAGAATTCAATATTGAGACAATTGAAAAATCTTAAAAAATGAAACTCATTGTAGCTGTCATTCCCAAAAGATTAAACTATCACCTATTACAGTTGCAATACTTCAAAATATATTCTGTCCAAGATTATAATTAATATTCAAATAGCTTTGGCATATATAATCAGAACACTTAAAAATTAGGCAAAGCAACTTAAGATATGGATTTAATAGTTTTATATTTCAGAATGTGTTTCTGAGAATGAAATGAGTTATTTTCTCTTTTCATTTTAATAAGCCAAAAGAGCATGCTTAACTTTTAAGTGAATAAGTCTTTTTTCCAGCATATTTATTCTTCTAGCTTTGTAGGGCTAAAAGGATGATTCTTATAATAATGGCATTTCGTACGATTATCTAGTGATATAGCACAGAATGGCCATTTCTAATCCCTTTGATGAAAATGTAAAAGTAAATAAAAGAGGAAGCAAATGAAATATGAACCGAGTCATCATTTCTGTGAAATAAATCTGAATTTGATTACATGATATTTTCAACAGACTTCCTCTCTTTCTCCACTTACCAGGAATTGAGAAAATTTTTATTTTAATTCTCTTTTTCTTTCTATTATTTTGCATATTAACCTGTTGTTCTTGACAGTCATGGACTAAGAGAATAAGCTAGCCTCTCCCAAATTTTAACCTAATGGTTTTCCTTAACTACTAAACCATCACTCAGTCCAGATCACCTTTGGAGGGATTCATATATTGTAGTATTTTTATTACAAAATAATAGAAGCAGGTAAGTTGAGTACCAAGTGTAAAGTATGAAGTGAAATGTCTTAAAAGCAGGACAAATATTTATTAAAAATGAAGTCAATTTTGGAAATGAATGTTTTGACAGGTCCACTGAAAAAGAGAAAAATGAACTTCCTTTTGGATAAAGTTGAGCAAGTGCATAAAATTCCAGTGAACTTCTCATTCCCCATAGACTGCATAGTATGCTCTGTGGCACTAATTAGTCCAGAGTGCAATTACTGATTGTAGGAGAAAGAAAACTGAGTCTTTTTTGTCCTCAGGTTCTTCCCAGCTAATTCTTTCTTTTCATAAAAGTTCCAGAGAAGAAGCTATTATTAACTCTCCTTTCACAGAAAGAGAAATTATCTATTTGATCATTTGATTTATGAGAGGCCAAGACAGATACAGATGCAGATTCCAATAGCAGCTCTAATATGGAATAAAGCTGGACTGTTCAGGAAAGGGAAATACAGAAAACTCCCTCACCATTGCACACACATTGACTTTCAGTAGGCTGGATGTCTCCTTTGAGGTTCTTGTAAATAGACGTTTATGCCATCCATTTACTATGGTAAAGTTTTCTAAGATAAAATTTCTATTAAGTAAAAAAATCTGTCAATATTTTGCTAATATTCTTTATTATAAAACATGGGAGATGGTATATATTTCATTTTATGTTGGTAGATGATACATTAGTTAATGAAAGGATGTCTAAAAACATTTTAATTACAGATAATTTATATAAAAATTGTTCTTTTATCCCCCACCATCTCCAAGCTCCCTACACAAACCCCAGAAATATAAAAATCTGTTTGACAATTTTATATCAATCACACCAGTAATATATATGTATATCCTGATTGCCATTCTAAGTGTTAGCTATTTGTCAAAATTATGGCTTCTAATGTAAATATTATTCATTCTGTCCCTTTATTTCAATATCGATTTGAAAAGGCTTCCTTTCTAATTTAGTAACAAGTATATGATTAGTACAATTATATATTATTCATATACCTTTATTTTTCTTTATTCTAAATGTTTATTTCTGATTAGAAAGCTTCATAAAATTTTTACTTAATTAAGATTTTACTAGAGTAGTTGAAAATATAATTTGTGAGAGTGAGCAATACTGAACACATTTTGAACCAACATCTGAATACACAGCATGCATTTTATTCATGTGCTTATTTTGGGCAATGTTAAAACTACCCATCCATGTACTACCCATGAGTATGCTTTCTTAAAAACTGCTGCACAAATAAAAACATAGTTTCTAAGTATTTGGAGTTCACATTTTAAAAGAATCCTTAAATTTTCTGATTATATGACCAACTATATCATATTTGTATAAAAGAAAGGATGGGAATCCGGTATTTTTTTATTTATACAGGGAGAATTTTTAGAACTCTAAAATAAAATCAGTATAGAGAACAACTTCAAAGATAAATTAAGGGATCCCATAGGAAATAAGTGTTTAAGTAGAATAAAAGAAATCCATAACCTATGTAATAGGAAAGAGGTGAGGAAATGAATGAATCTCTGGTAGATATGACTAGAAATGATAACAAATTAAAATGTTTGAGTTACCCAGAAATGTTACCAGAGCTAGGAGAAAAAACATTCTGCTACAAAAGAAATAAGCAAGAACGAAAAAGAGTTGATATGGTAAGGAATGATGAAATATAAAAAGCTCATGAATATGTTTTCAAAGACGTCCTTATTAATAAAGAGAATTTGTGTTTGTGAAATAAAATTGCATGCAAACTAAATATCTTATTAATTGCTTTGCTCATAAAACTTTTGAATTTTACAGTAAAACTATACTTACATAGTACCTTATAATTTTCAAAGCCTTTACTCATCTGTAATTTCTTTTGACAGTTTAAAATTTTAAATATTACCTAACATGGAAGAAAAAAATTCTAGGAAGCCCCTTGAACATGTAACCTGGATGTAAATGGTGCATGTAATACTTTATTGTATGATGCACAAAAGTTCATGTAAGTTGAATGACATATACATATAAATATAAATATCTATACATATGTATATATACAAGTATACAAGTAGATACATAGTAAGTTATATAATGCATCTAGAAGAGTATGCTCGATAAAAAATATTGTTAACTAGATACTATTATTATCATTATTCAATACATGTACATATATTTTGCTCAACTATTGTAATATAATATTAACTATTTTCATAAAATATTTAAATTTTTCTAGCACATATGTTAAATGTAAAATGGTCAACAAATGCATTAACATGATTGTAATACATTTTAGTTCAAGGAACTGATGCAGACAATGGGAGTAATTGAAATAGAGAAGTATTTAAAATATTATTCATCAAAAAGCAAGAGGAAAGTTCTTTTGTCTTCTCTTTTGATCTTCAAAGACATGGAAGCAGAGGATAATATAAAATGATCAGAAGAAATGAAAGAGAAGTACAACATGAATAATGAGATATTTCAAAGAAAGAGCACTTCACAAAATAAATATTTTAAGCTTAAAATGATACACAAATAAATATGGAGAAACTGCAATGAATAACAAATAAACACATAACTTTTTAAATTTGGAGCCATTTTTCATGCAAATTTAGTCAACTATCATAATAACCATTACACATCTTTCCTAATTCTGCTGTATTCTTTAACAAGGACACCTACTCAACCATTTATACTCATTCAACAATTAATTATCATCTTCTATGTGTCAGGCACTGCTCAGTGTCTGTTGAAAAATACTAATGAACTTAAAACCATTTTTATTGGTACTGAAGAAAAATACTACATGTGCATTTCTAAGCCCATAAGTAACCTTTCAGGTAATTGAAAAACATATATGGCTGAGGCTCTCGTACCTTTGAGAATGTGAGACACTCAGCTAAACCATTGGCAAAAACTGCCCAAGTATTGGATGAAAGATTTAGAGTACATTTAACATTTTAATTTGAAACAAAAAGTGCCTTATAATTATTTTATTTCGCCAACTACTTATCAAATATATTCATAAAGCCAATTAGTGAGTTTTATTCATCATAGAAAAAGAAAACTTCTGAAGATTTCTGAGTACGTTATATTAAAATAATTAAATGATGATCTAACATTTACATATGTCATTACAATTCTTCCCATAGACAAATGACAAACCAAAAAAGAAGGTAGAAGGAAGGGTGAAATGTCTTTCAGATATGACAATCAAGTAGGCTGTTTTGAGAGGCATTTTTAAATGTGGTAGAGAAAGGAAAAGGGCACCACAGGCAGTCTTTCCTAGAAAATGATGAATGAGCATTTTACATGATTCAATATATTTCTAGCACTTAATTGCTAAGTCACCTATTATGATCTGATTAAATGCATGCCTACCTTTCCTGATCCCTCCATCAGAAGCGCACGTGTAATCACCTGCCGTCAGAAGGAAACATGTTTCCCCTCTTCTGTTTTTGTCTCTGGTACTAGAGCGTCTGATGGGGAGCCTTTCTGGGGGTGATAATGGCGGCTCACTTCCTGTACTGTCGTCACCTGATAACACTGGTCACAGCACCATGCCCATTGACAGACAGTGATGGATGAGGAAATGAGACAGTACAAAGAGTTTACACCAAATGTCCATAGTCCAGTCACTCAATATACAAAACGCAATAATCACATCACAATAAGAAAAAGAACCATCATCACTCATCACAAAAAAATACATGGCACAAAATGGAAATGTATTGAAAGGGAGAGAAATATTCTTTCAGAAATTTTTATCCCTTGTTTGTGTTTTATCTGATAGATAATTGACTTTCACGCAAGTAGTGTGAACTCAAAAAAAGTAGGACAAAAAAAAGTACACAATTTACCTCATAATTTTTTACATGCTATCCAGTTGCTGTGAGTAGGAACACTTTAGAGTCTATTTATGGAAAAATTCTCAAGCAAATGTTTATTTTTGTATCTCTTTAAGAGGCATGATTTTATTATTTCTCTAAAACTTATTTCAAAACAAAACTTAATGAGAATAGTTGCAAAACATAAAAACTGCACGTCCAGATTCCATTTTCCTACTTCCAGTTTGAAGTAGGAAAATATTTTTGAAGCATACAGGGGACAAGATCAGCTTCTCCAAGTGCCCTTGAAATAACTGTTTACTCTGTATGCGGCCAGATATCTTCACATCTTACCAGTCTACCTATTAGCTTGTCATTGCATTATTTCCCAGAGATGAGTCTGTCCTCTTTGCCCATGCTCTTCTTAAGGGATATGAATAGGTGCACTGAAGAGAGACTAAGGCGAGCAACTAAACTCTCCCTTTCATAAAGTCATTCTGAGCAATCATCAGACATATATTGAGAGAATTTGCAGAGAAATCTACTAAATGAACATAAGGGTTGTGAATAAATTTTTTAAGAGAAGTTCGGGTATAGCCATATTTCCTTTCTGATTGCCTCATAAAAACTTCTGGAAGCAGGTTAGCTGTGGTGGCACAGGTTGCAATCCCAGCTACTTGGGATACAAAGATGGCAGGACTGTGGCTGGAGGCCAGCCCAGGCAAAAATGGTAACAGGACTGTATCTCAAAAACAAGCTTAGCGTAGTGCCTATAGTAACAGTTATATAGGAGACATAAGTAGGTAGATAGCTGTCCAAGGTCACCGCAGGCAGGCAAAAAGCTTAAGACCCTATGTGAAAAATAAACTAAAAGCAAAAAGTGTTGGTGGCACAGCTCAAAAGTATTGAGTTCAATCCCCAGTACCACAAAAAAAAAATCAAAAGTGAACCCTAAGGAAGGACCTCTAAACATGACATCCACCTTTTCTTTTGTTTTTATTATTATTTGGTACTATTTCTAAATGATACATGGGATTGTAAGTCATTTTGCTATAAGCGAAAGATGAAATATATTTAAATTGTAGAGAATAGATATAAATAACCTTAATTTTTTATACTAGTATAAAATCTATTTGAATTGTTAATCTATAAGATGTTTCATCTGTACCAGCTGTAAGACTATGGGTAACACCCTTGAATACAAGTTTGGCACACTGAATATCAAGCTACAGTCTATTAACTCTACAATACCTTTAGCAATGGAGGGGATCAAGAATTCAGTGAATTTTAAACAGTTAGCAAAAACTCAGTTCTAGAAGTAAGTAGGGCCAAAGTATAGTGCATAAAAAAGGAAATCCACAAAGAAATTCAATGTTGTCGTTATTATCCACACAGATCACTCATGCCTTGAATAGTGGTGGGTTGACTACATAGCATGGGATCTTACCTCACCTAAAGGGTTATATTGAGTTGTCCTGCCTAATTTAAAAACAATGAAAATTTAGTCATTCTTCCAGACTATTACTAAGAAAGATCTTTGCTATTGAAAGATTTATCTTCCATATCACCTCTTTGGTGTTTGGGCCTTTGATGTGCAAGCATCCATTCTCCTTAAATAACTGCTTCTTGTGAATTAAGTTGAGATGCATAGCACCACATGGCACAGGTAAAACTGAGACAAACCACACCAAGCCAAATGATATGCAGATCAACATGATGAGGATGAAGAATGGAAAATGGCCAATATCATACCATCACATCGTGCAGAGAAACAAAGAAACATTGGCACAGAAGCAACAAACGGGCAAAAGAAAATATTGGCACCATCAGCAAAGGTCATTCCCACTAAAGCAAGAAAACTCTATAGACCAGCTATATAGACTTCTATGTGGGGTTCATTTAAAAATGCTACGGTCTAATTATCTGCAAGCCTAACACACATGCACACATTTTGTGAACAAATAAGTCTGAAACATCTGTTCATAAACAGTTACAGAAAAGGAGAATGGCTGCCTTCTGCCTAAGTGCATACTGGTCTATAAAGTGTTAAATGACATGCATTTGAAATTGTGTCTTACCTGATCTGTTATGCTCCAGAAGTAGGTTGTCTTTGCCCAGACAAGTGTCACTCTGTGTGCTATTGCAGGCCATATTTAGTTCTGTCTTACAGAATATAGGTGAGCTTGCCTGAGGAGCAGGAGGAATGTGCTTCTTTCTTTTTCTTGGAAGTTTCTGCTTCGCCATTGCCAAGGAGTAATACATTCCAAAATTGTTGACAATGACAGGCACTGGCATAGCTATTGTCAGCACTCCAGCCAGAGCACACAAGGCTCCCACCAGCATCCCTGACCATGTTTGGGGGTACATATCCCCATAGCCCAGGGTAGTCATGGTCACCACAGCCCACCAGAACCCAATGGGAATGTTTTTGAACTGCGTGTGCTCACTGGCTGAAGGGTCATTAGGTTGAGCTCCTACTCTTTCTGCATAATAGATCATTGTAGCAAATATCAAAACTCCTAGAGCCAGGAAGATGATCAGCAGCAAAAATTCATTAGTACTAGCTCGAAGAGTGTGTCCAAGCACCCTCAGACCTACAAAATGGCGGGTGAGCTTGAAAATTCTCAGGATCCTCACAAACCTTACCACCCTGAGGAAGCCAAGTACATCTTTAGCAGCTTTGGATGACAGCCCACTGAGTCCCACCTCTAAGTAGAAGGGTAGGATGGCCACAAAGTCAATGATATTCAAGAGGTTTTTGATGAATTCAAGTTTATTGGGTGAAAAAACAATACGGACTAAAAATTCAAAAGTAAACCACACCACGCACACGCCTTCCACGTATGTCAAGGCAGGATCTGTTTCGATTTCGTATTGTAGAATGGTTGTGCCATTGATGACTGGTTCGGTCTTGTTTTTAACAATATTGAAAGCTTCGTGCGTCTCCAGGCAAAAGGTCGTGATTGAAACCAAGATGAAGAATAAAGAAGCAAAAGCAATAAACTGTAGAAGAAAAAGAAATAAAAATATAGAGTGATCTGAACCATAATATACTTGATCAAAATCTAAGAGCACTGATCACTGTAAATAGAAAAGAACAATAGCATATTTGGAGATTTCACTTGAAATGTTTCTCAGGTAAAAGAAGGGATCTGTACGTAACATAAATCAAAGTGTACATCTAATATGTTTCAAGTTCTGTTTTCAGCTTCTATAGATGCAAAGTTTTGCTTTATGTTGGAAAACAATTTCTTGAAACTTTTGCATAAGAAAGTATAGCCTGTGGAGAAAGCATGAAAATTATTGCATAAGAATTTTAAAGAGCAGAAAGCTGAAAAAGAAAAAAATTAGACACTGATTCCAAATACTGCTAGAAGTCTTCATATATCAGATCAACTTTTGCACCTATAAATGTAAGATGTATTACACATGGAGGGAAATTTGGAAGCCACTCAAATTTAATTGTAGGTTTCTATTTATAAGTAAAATGCTCTGGATATCATGAAGTGTGAACCTGAAAAGAATCTTTGCAATATATACTACCAACTAAATTATATCAACATAAGATGGAGACTTGTCCAATACAGTAAATCTAGGAAGGAAAAATAAAGCATCAAGATGGAAAGCAGAGAAACTGAGTTAAGGAAAAAAATTAAAAGACAACTTTCTTCTTCTATGAAAAAAGATCTCAAAGTGTTGTAGCAATAAATTTTAAAGTTCTAGTTTCGTTTCAACTCTTTTTCATTTCTTCAGTCAATACTGTATGAACACACACACACACACCTACTAACACAGATTGATAATGAATTCCAATTTATATAGTTCTGACTAGAAGCACACACTACTAAAGTCAATCTATATAATTAATTCATATCAATCTACATAACAACACTCCCACTACCCCATTTTATAGTTCACTAATACCAAGCATAGAGCATTTAAGTCATTTTTCTTAGATCATCTGATAGAAAATGATAAAACTAAGACACTAATCTGACAAGGTTGACTCCAGATTCCATTTCCTTAACTTATCAAATACTCAGATGTAGACTAGAAATAGGATGAAAACCAACTTTTACCTAGATTGGGGTCACAAACTTATTAATATTCAGGATCTGAATATTTGAAACCCAGGTGTTTGAGTGAATGGCACTGTACTGGCAGGTTTTGAAATGGCTGGCAGGTTTCTGGTGCTCTCTCATAATACCGTCAGAGTTAGCATTCCAAATGAACAGATTATTCCTTGAATGTCCAAACAAGTGAACCTCCTACTGTGAAATACTATTTCTCCATTCACTATTTCTCTTTGTATAAGGAAATACACAACTTTTAATCCACTAGTTGTCATAGTAGCACAAAGATCCTATACACATTAGAAATGGCATCTTTTAAGGGAAGAATTAATTACCTTGATTGACAAATTGCTCTTAATCTAAGGTTCAGAGTCATATTTGCTTCTGATTCCACTTAAATCTTTGTCATTAGAGTCTTGCTAGTATTTGCCTGCTGATTCTTCCCTCCCACACTCCCCTCACTTCCCACTTTAGTCTCTCAGGTTAAATGCAAAGTTTTAGTGCACAGCGTCTAACTATGAGGCAGTTAGAGCATAAAAGAATTAAATTGCAGTTGTCTTTTTTGATTCTAATATTCTCAGTCATTTCTTTTCAATTGTCTTTTCAGTCTCAAACTCCACCTGCATTTATGTGGCATATTGAGATGTCTCAACATTTTGCTCTTTCAAAATCAGGCTTCATATGTGCCTGCCCAGATCCATACAACAGGAAAATGTTGTAACACATGTTGAAGCTTATCAACGTAAAGTGTTGGGACCTTTTCTAATGAAATGTGTTCCAATCTTTTATGCATTCATTCATTCAGTAGATGTGTATTAGAGGTCAGACCACAGGTTAGGTTCTTGGTTTACTAGTAGTTATCAAGACAAATTCCCCTGCCTTTGAGAAACTCACAGTGTGTGTATTAAGAATACAGACATGAAATTTATTAGTCATTATAATCAATGATTACTTCATTGATTGTAATCAATTACATAATTATTATTGTCATAAATACAATGAAGAAAAAATATAGGCTACTTCAAAAGGATTTAAAAATGAACTACATTTAGATTGAGGGGTTGTTCAAGCCTTTGACAAAATGTCCTTGAACTGAAATTTGAGGGATGTGCAATGGTCAACCTGGAAGAAAATGGGAGATTTATGTATCTCACAGTAAGAAGCTTTAACAAAACAACAAAAACTCTAGCTGTTTTGGTTTTTTTTTTAAATCTTACTTTCTCAATTGATCTTTGACTATCACACCACAAAAGCCCATAGGCTTTTGCATTGTTTTGGATGTATATATCCCAAAATCTACTTTTCAAAAGGTTAGTCCTTTTTTCTAAGGAAACTTAAATCAATCAGAAATGTTACCTGGGTTTTAAAATGAGGCAGTAAGGTGACTTCAGAGCATCTTAATTACTGACAGTGATACTTAAGGTTTGTTGCCCTATAGAATTAACTTGTCTCAAACTGCTGTACCAGCCCCATTGCTTGATAAAATGTGAAAACAGAAGATGTATATTAAAATGTTTTTATTTAAAGCACTAGGCAAATGTTAGAAATCATTTTATATTTTAATATATTTTCAAAAAATCTAATTATAATCATATGAATTTCTAGAACCTAATGTTTATGTTTACTAAAGGAATTATATCATAGGAAAAGGTCAACTGAGTCTTTAAACATCAAACTTAATGGTTGGAACATAAGTGATGAATCATCCTGTAGTTGGAAACAGTTTAAATTACCCACTTACATTCCTGGAAGAAGAGGGTAGTACAACGACTCCATTCATTAGAATAAACATGGATAGAAAGTGTACACAAATTCAAATTCATTATCCTCCCATTAATACTGGAACATTTTATGTAGGGAGAAATAATATGCATTTAAATGAGCTTTCTAGGTGACATATATATATATAAAACTATATCTATATATATATAGTTATATATATAGTTAATTTGAAAAACAACTTCTAGTGTGTCTTTTAATAGATTGATAATACGGGTTATCAAATGAATTGGAATTGATTTCAAAGCACCTGTAGACACTTAAACAAATCATCTAAAGCCTTAATAATAATAGTTCACTACATCCTCAGTAATGTGTCTATATCTGTGTGTATATTTTGACATAATTCTGGATTCTACACAAACACTTGTGAGGAAATAAAACATCTGAACAGCCTATAAATACACATAATGGTAAGATAAAATTTTGGAAACTAAAAGCTGTCTATTTTTGTAAGCTATTTGATACTTGTATTTATCCATGTTTATTAGCATTATTTAAAGAACTATAACAAGGACTTAGAGGCTACTTTTTCTGAAAGCACTAACTCTTCACTGGGCCCATAGATGTCTACAGATACCTCTTGGTAATTAAAAGCAGGATAAAGCTTAGCATCCCACCTTCATTTTGTTATTGGCTTTGATCTGAGTCATTATGTCCTGCAGTCACCTTGGATTCCAAGGTCTGATCAATAAACATCTTGTGATGAGTTAAAACTGCCCTCAGGCCACACAGCAATTTTCATATCACCCACAAAGCTCCACCTGACCAATTATGAGATAAAGATCCACTAGCCCAGTTTGACCAAGACTGCTTAAATAAGCATGTGTCTTGCCCCACCCTCCGAAGCTCATGTCAGTACCCCCTAAGATAGAGCTAAGGTTGCTGGCTCCCTGGTCATCCCAATATAATTGTATTATTAAAGTTCTTTCCTGGTTTTCACTATTAACATTTTCCGTCTGGTGTTTGAGGCAAATTGCCAAGTCTGATTTGCTGGCATCCTCCCAGAATTGGGTCTCTGGCCTAACAAACAAGCAACAGAGCTACATTATGATTTTGTACTTTTATCATTATCCTTTAGTGTTTTCATAGCTTCATATAGCTTTAGTTTTTAAGTAATTGTAAATATGCTGGAATGAGATAATTTAAGATAGGAAAATAAAGAGTGTCTTACAAAGAAACAAGCTTTAGCAATCCAAATAAAAAATAACATTCAACTCAGAAGTAGGTGATCATTTTGATTAAATAAAAACAGTAAACAAGCAATTTTTTAATTTGTAAAAGCTAAAGATATTAGGCATGATCTGGAATGAGAGGGTTGTAAGAAACAACAAAAATATACCTCATAATGGCATGATGGGAATTTAGAGATTGGCCTCTGTCAGGTTGAGAGTAGAGAATTTGGAAAGAAGTTGAAGTTTGAAGAGAGATAAAAGGAAAGGTCTCTAATGAGAAGAAGCAAGAGCCCATAATGTGAAGTCAGGCAAATGATAAATCCCTCCACAGGTGCACAAACAGAACGTTGGAGAAGCAAGGGAAAATATTAAAGTTCAAAATGATCTTTCTCTGTTATGCCTTCAGCAAAAACCTGTTGTGCAAAAGCAGCTTAATGTTAATGACACTTTAAATAAATGAAGGTATTGAGCCAAGGGAAAGCAAAATGGAGGATAAAATTACTGATGGAAGGAAGATACCCAGAGAGGTTCAAAATCACAGAAGAGTAATAAATAAGGGTCAAAAGCTATTTGAAGAAATTTGACTCCCATGAAAATCCTTGGAGATTTTGGGAGACTACAAAGCCTATCATGAATGAATAGAATCTTAGTTTATTAGCAGTTTAGTTTGAGTATCAAATGAATGGCTGACCCTAAAAGCTTTGAAGACCTGGAATCAGCCAGAGGCAAACACTTGGTTGCATTATCAAGGACTTGATGGACTTTATCTTTGAACTTAATTGTAAGGTCTTTAGACAAAGAAAATGTCTGTGCTTCTGGTTCACTTAATATAGGTGGTAAATGTAAAGTTATATTGAATAATATTAAGAAAAAGAAATTTAATAAAGAGATGGTACAGAAGATTTTATTTTTCTTTGTCCTTCACTGAACTGAGAAATCGTTTAAGGACTGAAATTATGTCATATTCATTTTTTTAATCT